TAATTGTAATTAATTATAATTAATGGGTTATGGCTTTAGAGGATGTTTATTGGAGAAATACTTGTTTACACTTACAACTACTATCACTCTAGAAAGAGCGCCTTCCAGATTATGTGACCTGACTAGTCCGTCGTCTCCCACTTTTCGTCTTCAACGGGTATTCTAGGTGGAGTGTGTTTGGTGTTAGTCCTTGGCTCTGATGGTCTTCTCTGCTCTCTCTTCCAATCCCCTTGGAACTCAGCTGACCTCAAAGAGTCAGAGTCAGAGTTAATTTACGACTGGCGGTTTATCGCCAATCAGTTCATCTTGGTGGCAGACCCTTGAGGCCCATGACCAGAGATTCTTAATCCTAACTGAACTCTTGCAGTAATAGTCCTTATGTAACATCCTCTCTTACGAGAAGATGGGTTTGTCTCTTATGAATACACTTGGCCTTTTGTAAGGTGTATATTTCGCACATATAACATATTATTGAAAATTCTTCCTTTTGCACTACACACCATTCCTCTGTCAGTGCAGGCTTTACGGAGCAGATCATGCCTAACTTACATATCTTATGATACAACGGTAGCTTAATCAGTTGAAATGTCGTAAGCTTGACCACCGCCAAGTTCAAGCCTCTTTAAGCCTCATGTGATTTCAAGTCAAGTCAGATCAAATATTTAGTACAGTTTGGCAAGTACAGACTTGTTTTGTGCGGCGCCCTCTCTGATGAGAGGATGGATTTGTCTTTTTCATATGCTGCTGCAATCTACCCTCTCAAGTAGATCTTAGTGTTCCGCTGAGAGAATAACTTGTCGAAGGGTTCTGTTTCACGTGATAGCTAGAATATTCGTTGCCTAGGAATTGGTAGCTGTTGACTAGCAATAGACGCTGGTTGTCAGTGCATTACCTAGGAATTGACACTTCTCTGTGCAGTGTGTTCACCTGTCAAAATATAATTTTTATCTAAAATTAATTGATTAATTTAATAACTGAGAATAACTGAGAGAATAACTTGTCGAAGGGTTCTGTTTCACGTGATAGCTAGAATATTCGTTGCCTAGGAATTGGTAGCTGTTGACTAGCAATAGACGCTGGTTGTCAGTGCATTACCTAGGAATTGACACTTCTCTGTGCAGTGTGTTCACCTGTCAAAATATAATTTTTATCTAAAATTAATTGATTAATTTAATAACTGAGAATAACTGAGAGAATAACTTGTCGAAGGGTTCTGTTTCACGTGATAGCTAGAATATTCGTTGCCTAGGAATTGGTAGCTGTTGACTAGCAATAGACGCTGGTTGTCAGTGCATTACCTAGGAATTGACACTTCTCTGTGCAGTGTGTTCACCTGTCAAAATATAATTTTTATCTAAAATTAATTGATTAATTTAATACTTAGAACTTTGTATGTACTCTTTGTCGAATATATATTTCATGAACATCAGGATATAAATTCTTTTATCAGAATATAATAAAAGATTTAAAACAAGTAGTTGTGAGTTATTAGTTGAGATATTACATTTTTGATCAATCTTTTCTTATTCAATAAAGGAACTGTGGACTTGTTCGATAATCTTGCGACACAATTAGGACTGTAGTGAAGAAAGCTACTATATGGAAATATTTAGTGTTCGACAGTTCTGTTTTCGTGTCTTTTCAGGCTCTTATACTGAAAGTACTAACTTTTATCATTATTTTCTTCTTTTCAGTTTAGATCATACAGATGAATGTTTGCATAATTTCTGCTATAGAAATAATGGCAGGTCTTGTATTCAAATAGTGGGCTTCTTATCTTCCTTTCAGACAGCCACCAAGTTCATATGCACTGGGAAAACTGCTGTCATACAGAAATTGCTAAATGGAAGACCCAAAAACCACAGCAACACTTGCCACGGCTCAGGGGCAGGGGTTTCTTTCGGCCTCCAGCCGACATGGAATGTTGTAGGCCGGCGGAAACTACTTGCCTCTGAGCCACAAAGCAGTCACATCACCATTCTTCAGCATTGAGCCTCAATGTCACAGGATGATATTAATACTATTCCGTTGCAGGGCTGTATTCTCATTGCACATTATCATTTGTTTTACTGACAAAATCAACATGTTTAAATAACTGCTGAATTTAAATGCTATTTTCCTCTTTTCTTTTATCAGGTAGTGGAAAATGAGGGAGAAAGGCAATATATTGCAATTGTAATTTTATAAATTCAGTCCCAACATTATAAATACCTTTAAAGGAGTGCAGGAGTGGCAGGATGCTGGACTCAAACTAGAACTTTAAGAATGAACTAGTTTTTCTTTTTGTGGTTTTAATGAACTATAAGTTTTTATTTCAGGAATTGGTTCTCCTGACTTATGACTGTTGGACTATAAATTATAGTACAAATACTTTTCAGCTGATTAATTTCTCAGACCAGTCTTGGTTGGTTTGGTGTGTTATTTGGGATCTACTGCCCGTTTCTTTCGAAGCTAGTGGCTTGACACTCTGTGTGATGCCAAGGCTAAACTGTTATGCTAGAAGATTACATGTTCTCCTGACAGGTCAAACAAGCTGAAACCATTCTGGCTGTCAATCACAGAGAAGGAAGCGTTGCCTTTGCTGGACTTCCTCTCAGCAGCTCTGCTCTCTGCTGAGTATGAACGGGCCTTGGGTCGGGCATTGGCCATGCCTGAGTGTCATGTGGTGCCTTTCTTTGGAGCATTCCTACGAGAATTACGAGAGATCTTGGCTGCTACTCCTAGTCTCATAGTGCTGGCCCCAACGGGGGAGCACACTCGTCTGGAGGTGAGGACTAGCAATGTGCCTCCTTATGGCACTGCAATGAACCGTCCTCAGCGCCAACGCACCCAGCACCACCACAGTCATGGCCACCGTCCTGTGGTAAGCCACCTTGCCCCCTGGGGTTCGAATTAACATACCCCCTCATGTAAATTTACGTCGTTTGTCACCAAGAGAATTTCACCTACAAACTTGATCTCTCTGACAATTTAGCTTGGTTTTGGCATAAGATAAATAAAAAGAGCACATCAGCTTCCTTTGTGTAATTTGTAGCAAGCATTGAAAAGTTTTATTGTAGAGAATCTTATCATATTTTTATTAAACTAGATGCTCCTACTGACTAATATTTTCTCACCACTTACAACATGAGTATGGAAAATACTTCTGAACTTTGTCTTGGTATAGGGATGAATATGAATCTGAAAATTAAATCAATTGCATCATTGCTTATCAAGGGATCTGTATTGCAAGTTATTTATTAAATTATTAAAATAGCATGTTTGGCTGCTATATTTGGGGCAGTAATGTCCCACCAACTGCAGTCACTTATGATCTTGAGGTCAGTCGTTTTCCATCCATTTCTCCCTTATAATGACACTGTTTAGCCACTGCACCATCCTTTTCTTTTATCTTATTTTCTGTCACTGCATTGAACTGAAAACCTATTTATTACTGCCCTTTAGGAAGTTTCTTATGCTCGCTTGAGCACCTGTAGCTGAGCCTCATGCTCAGTTTATACAGTAGTTTTGTCACACGTTCATGACTAGACACAGGGCTTCGATTGATAATTGAATTTTCTGGATGCTAGATATTAATAGCAGCTAATAATTACAACACTCGCTGTCCCACTTGTAGATGATCTATGAATAGCTATAGCACACTCCAAGTCTTCCCAATTTGGTATGTCTTTACATACCCATCGCTTAGCAGTGGCTTCTGAAATTACTACATCTGTTCTTAGCTGCTCCTGGTCATGCTGGTTGGTGACTGACTGCTAACCACTGACTACTCTGTCAAATTGCTGCTGGCCTTTGCCTTCTTGGTTCTGTGGCTCGCAGGACCAATGACTATATTCTTCTGTATCCTGACTCTTGAAAGAGCACTCTTGACTATTCTGGGTTGGATCAGGCCAGGTGAATTTGCTGCTGGTCCTTATCGCCAAAGTCATTCTTGGTTTAGGGCCTCATGGGGCCTGTGACCCATATATTTCTCTCTCAGTACTCCTTACTGTTGTACTTCGGGTTCGGGTAAATTGCTGTTGGTCTTCAACAGAACAATCATTGTGGTTCTAGACCCTGTAGGAGCCATGCCCCTTTTTCTGTTCCACCATTCTGACTTGAGTTGTGACTACTCTGAAGACTTACGTCTTCTGGGACGTAACTCTGTGTAGTTAGTTGAAAGTCAACCAACGATTCGGAGGAACATGTTGCAGTCATCTTCAGGGTGAAAGAATAAGCCAAGCAGGAAACCAGCATGAAGGCAGGTGACAAGCAGAGCTTTGCTTATTCTTAGACCCTGAAGATGGAGGTGACATGTTCCTTTGAATCGCTGATTAACCTTCAGTAGACTATATGTTATTATATCCCAAAAGATAAATAAAAGTCTTCATAACCACCGTTCTCAGACCCTGAATTGTTACGTGTGACTGCTCTGTTCAATTCAGTTTGGGTAAATTGCCTCTGGGCTTTTCCAGCGCAATCATTCTTGGTTTTGGGTCTTACAGGACTCATGACCTTATTTTTCTCTCTCATGACTCAGAGAGTGATGCAGCTACCCTGATGACTCGCACAGTCCTGTTGGCGCTGCCTATTTAACTTCTGGCCAGACCGAATAGAAATGCCTCAGCAGTTCCTCTCTTTTCGTGTGCATTTTCACTGATGTTATAAAATGTGTATGCACCCATTGTCCAGCAGTGGGCAGTATTGCTCTGACACCATTATGCTGGCTTTCAGATGACATGTCACAATACAGGCTGCAGAATTGCAACAAATTAAGTATTAAGTTACCATCTGAATTTGATTCTAACAGTTCACATATAATTGAATTGAAGGTAACCAATTTTATGAAATACAAAAATGTTATGAGAATTAAAATTTTGTACCAGACTCACATAAATTGCTGAAGGCAGAAAAGTATTATGTTGCTGGTTAGTAAAGATTAGATTACACGAGGTGCGTTGTTACCTAGATTAGGAATCAAATCAGAATGCCCAGTTTTTACACAATTCAGTTGGTCTTTTTGTAGACAAAACAGATGCATTCTCTGTATTTCATATATATAATAATAGTTACCATTTTTTAGATTATTGGAAACATAAAGAACAACTAAGATCATGTGTATATTTATTTTGAGGGCAAATTTACAGGTTCAACCCCGTTCCTTCTCCCCAAAACATGTTTTAGACACCATGATGGAACATGCTTTTGCTGAAGTTATTGAAGTCAAGAGTTACTGGACAATCAGTCTGAAACGTAGGTTAGCTATAATTTGAGATCTGAGATTATTACGGTGGTGACTGTGAAGTTTGCTCTCTCCTAATGTGTGACGCCATACAGCCTGATAAATCATTACTAATATAGTGGAGGATCCTGCTGCTTTTGCCACCAAGACAGAAGAGCCTTCATTCTTTTACCCTGAAGATTTAGGCAGCACATTACTCTGAAACACTAGTAATAATTTACCAGAATGCATGACATCCTATCCCACAAGGGTGTAATGTTCTTAGCCTGTATACGTATACAGAGTGTAACAGGTGCAGAGTGACTTTCGACATGAATTCCACATAGCAAAACAAGAAGAAATTTCCATATCAAGATGTGTCTACAATCATTTAATTTGTGAGATAAACTGATTTCCCAGTGCAAGAGAAATTGTGTTGGTGTTTTGTTCAACAAAATGTGGAACATTTCTTTGTTTCTCCAATGCTTTTTACAGATGAGGCATGTTAAAGTAGCGAGAGCATCATCAGTATTCGTAACAAACATGAGTAGGTGGAGGAGAATCCTCATAGTGTAATACATTCTAGACGTCAGTGGCAGTTCAGCAATAATGTGTGGGCAGGGATTGTTGGTGATTTGTAAGCCCTCACATGCCACATTGGCTTACAGACAAACCTTGCCGATATTTCCTGGTACATGATCTCACAAAGCTAGTGGAAGATAATGACTGGCTGTCAGAGCATGAATGTGGGACATGCATGATAGCGGTCTGGCACATTTTGGCTATGCTACACAAGATATTTTCCATAACACCTATCAAGTTAGGTACCAGAGGACTCACTGTGTGTTCTCTATGCTCGCCAGATTTGAATCCTCTGGTTTTTACATGTGGGCAAATCTAAATTCATTTGTGCATCCAGCTCCTGTTGGCAACAAACAGGTACTTCACCGTCACTTGTGGACACCTCATACTATCTGCAATGGATGCATGGTCCATGATGAGGTCTGTCGAGGCATGCATTGAATCTGATTGAGGGCATTTTGAGCACTTACTGTAAATGTACTTTTTCAGCTGTAACTAACAAATTAAATATTTTGGGACACATGGTCATATGGACAGTTTTTCTTCTTTTGGTATGTGGAACTCATGCCCAAACTTTGTTCACACATTTCAGTTACATTGTGTATAATCTTTGACACTTGTTTTGCTTTTCTCCTGCAGATGTATCATATACAGCACATTACAAGTCATGTGCAGTTCTGAATTGCTAGTTTCACAGCACAAAATCTTCAATTTTCCTTCTGCACAAAATCATACAGTTGCCAGTCATTAGACCTTTATGGCGTGGCTCATTGTTGCTGATGATTCTGCTTCTGGGCTGTTACAGCACGTGGATACGCGAGATATTACAACATTTGGAGATACATGCTGCCTCAGTTTTCAGAGCAACTCTGGAGATGGCACTATGTACCTCCAAAAATCCGTAACATCTTGCATATTCACATGGAGTAGAAACTGAAGAACAGAATTAACATCAGTGATGTGAGGTATATTGGGGTATATATTATTTTGTTAAAACCAGCAAGTACATAAAACGTTCATTATTTTAATACATACTTGAATTGAATTGAATTGAATTTATTTACCTTCCGTAAATCCAGTACAGGTGAGACACCATAGGATATGGAACAAGTCAAGTTAGAATACATAGTATCTATACAATAATACAGTAATATTGCAATTAAATGAGGTAAACTTATAATACTTATAATACACATTAAACAATGATCAAGAAATTTATCAAAATTTATCATGGACTAAAATAAAATAAAATTTCCATTAAGACGTTCATTCATTACTCATTCCATTAATCAAGTGCGTCAAATTAAAATGCATATAAAAGAGACACTTATCATACAAAATTCACTTATTAAAACAATCAAAAACAGTAGATTAGTCATATAAAATAAATATAAAAATAGTTGACAACTTCAGGTGCAACTTAGTCAATAACAGAAATCAAAAGCACGCAAGCCAACATGCTACAATGCATAGTCATACACATACCGTGTATCTTGTGATGGAAGTGAGTACAAAGTTCAGAGCATCAATAGACAGTTGAGAGTGGTGCAGACATGAAATAGCTTTCATTATACTGTTAAAGGTTCTCTCTTCTTTTAAATCAGTTTCTGTTGAGAGATATACAAGAGTCATAACAGACACCCCCAGCCCAGAAGAAGTGTACGGTACAAACACTTGTATTATCTTGCACATAGGAACAAACAGAAAATCCACCAAATCATATGAGATCATTATGCATCATATGTTCTCAGCTAGTGCAAGGAAAAGCCAGGTTATACCTTTGTTCTTAATCCCATTTAACCATAAAGCTAAAGATAAAGATAAAGTTGTCCCAGTGTTTATTTAACTAAGTACCATACCATGGTTTTGGGAAGTACATATATAGTCCCACCGTTCTTGCCTGAGCCACAGATGGAGGTGAGTGGTCAGGAAATGTCCTGTGGTATGCATTGGATATGAAGCCGGGTGTGCCCCAGAGCCAGTCTGGATTGCTCCTGCCAGGAATCAGCCTGTTGCTATTGAGCTTGTAGCCTGCCTCTACACTGGCTGAGCTATCCTAGCTCCTCTTTAACCCTTAATAT